AATCTTTTCGAACATAACTGTGCGAACTGCTTTAATCCGCGGACTGCGACGATGAAACATTCAGGTTTTCCGTCGGAAAGGACGAAAATACATGGGAACAAATTTTCGACCACGGCTCCGGCTCCAGTTCCGAAATTTATTTCGTTTCGCATCAGCTCTGAAAAATAATTCATCATGCAGATCTTAGCTTAGGCTGCTGAATGTTGCTGTGATACTTTTTTTGATTACGCCAAAAGAGTTTTTTTGGTTTCGGAGCTTAGATATTACTGCATATTATACTTGCATACAACATTTGCTGTGACAGATGAACCGATCTTAAATAATGACGCGGAAAATTGTTATTTTTGATTTAACGGGGTTCCACGTGGGTGAGGGGCTTCTCTGAGAACGGGAGCCTGTGCGACCTGTCGCGGTGATTCATATTCCCATGGGGGATCTTTGCGCGGAAGGGATTATTCCAAATTTCGAACACTGTTGTTGAGAAACCGCATTGTGAGATGTGATCATTCTTCAGGTATCAGCCACAGTTCACTTCGATCTAATAAAAATCGATGTTTTCAAAGGATAACATTTATTTCGTGCGTATTTTAGATTCAGAGCAGTAATAATGTTACAATGGATTATCAAGATGATGGAACTGCCATTTTACATATTAAAGAGACTTCTTTGAATGAAATTGGAGAGTACCGATGTGACGCCGTCAATGAATTTGGAGCAGCCTGGACTGAAGCTCCTATCAATTATGGTGTTGAAAGAACATTACCACATGAAGGAGAAGCCCCAGATTTTATGGAACCAGTTCATCCTGTTACGGTAACGTGCTTGTATTTCACTCCCAACAGCTGATAATTTTGAAAATGTTGCTACGAAAATAGTACTTTATGATTAGTTGTGACATTAACTTGACGCTTCATGATTTCGACTTGTTAACATATGCTAATTCTGATTCAATAAATTGTAGAGCTGGTACTTATTAAATCATGGATAAAACTTATCAGGTAATGGAAGGAGAGACAGCTGTGTTGGAAGGTAAAGTGAGTGGTGAACCAAAACCAGAAGTGAAATGGTACAAAGGTGATGAGATAGTAAAGGAAAGTGATAAGATTCAAATCGAGCAACTGGATGATGGAACACAAAGACTTATTATTAAAAATTCAACGCAAGAAGATACAGGCGAGTATCGTTGTTCGGCATCGAACGAATTTGGTGACGTTTGGAGTGATGTCACTTGCACAGTGCAACGTAAGTTCATTCTCTCTTCTAAGCGCTCGTTTGTTTCACTGCTGGATGCAATTTAATAAACATGTGTTCTAAGTACCGGCAACGCTTGAAGAAGAACCAATGGAACTGGCAGCACCAACTTTCTTACAAACACTCGAAGAGACGAATGCCAAAGAAAGTGATTACGTTGCATTGGAATGTGTGATTGTGGGCGAGCCAATGCCTGAAATTAAATGGTATAAGGTATGCGACTCTATTGAAAGATTACCCTTTAGCGTTTGATTCAAGTGTAATTATTCAAATTGTTTTCAAGGACAAAAAAGAAATCAGTGCCGACGATGCGCATTTCGAGCAAGAGACATTATCTGATGGTACAGCTCGTCTCATCATTAAGTCTGCTTTAAAGGTTCGTATATGTTTTGATTGTATAATACAACGATGCCTCGGTGTATCATATTTGCATGAGAAGAGAATGCATTTCTTAGCGATTTTAATAAAATTTGAAGATCAAACTGATGGGCATCATTAATTTAATTGACTGCAGGCAGATGCGGGTGAATATCGATGTGAAGCACGGAATCCATCGGGAACTGCTCGGACCGAAGCATTATTGACCGTTCTCTATGCATTCGAGGAGCCGCTTGAAAGTGAAATTTCACCTGAGTTTATTGTCGAACTGAAGCCAGTAGAGGCTAATGAAGGACAAGTGGCTGTTTTCGAATGCCGGTGGGTAACTTATTGTTACTGCTGTTATTATCGTCAATATTGCCAGTTTTATTATTTTAAGCGTTATTTCTCATTACGAGCATTTTTCTTTTTTTCTTTATTTATTCAGCTTCTCTGTTATTACTGGAAATTGCATACATTCTCCGTTCTTTCTTCGCACATAGCCAACAATATCTGCTCAGCATCATCAGTAAATCATCAAATTTTTCAAATAATTCTGTTTATTTAAGGATAAGCTCAAAGAAACAAAATCTTGTTGTGAATTTATAGTCTTCAGCGTATGAATATTTTTTGGGATATGATTTTGACGGATAGTCTCAGAGTAATCAGAGAGAAAATGAGCGCTACAAACAAGTTTGCTTTACAGTGTTTCTGGTGTGCCTCGACCTGAAGTAAAATGGTTCAAAGATGGAGGAGAAGTAAAACCGGATGAACATATAAGAATCGAAACTCTTTCTGACGGTACGAATCGACTGACAATCGATTCAACGCAGCTTGATGATCAGGGTAATTATCGTTGTGAAGCGACAAATACGGCTGGCTCAATGAGTTCAAAGGCTCCGATGACTGTGAATGGTACTGTTATCGACACAATTATTATCGTTGCTGCGTTGATGTCTTTATTCTTAATATGGATTCGAAACTCGTCCAATTCGAAGCAGTCTTAAATGTATATATTCAGCAAAGAATGTGCGTTTGAATCAGTTAATAGAACTTCAAGCTCGGTATATTGCAGCTCCTGAGACTTTGAAAGTGTTGAAAGAATTGGAGGATGTGAACATCTCTGAAGGTTCCGACATACATCTGTACGTCGAAGTAGAAGGCAAACCCGATACTGTGAAATGGTTCAAAGAAAAAGAAGAAATCATATCAAACAAGTTTGTTTGTTTGTTCAGAAATTCTAGACTTTTCATTCTACCCCAGAAAGAAGGTTCCACCTTCAATAAAAATAAAAAGTTATTTTTTTCGAACTCATGTTTGAGTGACTTCAACGACTTCGATAATTATTTGTAGATCTTACTAACGATAAAAATTAATCATAATAAATTTCAGCAAAACCACTCTCTCAAAAGTTTCTGATCAGGAATATGAACTGAAAATCGGAGAGGCACGGCTATCAGACAGTGGTGCTTANTTGTGCTATCAACGGAAACCGAATCTGTTGAATCGTCGAGTAGGGTCACTGTAAATGAAAAGATCACCGAAATGTCATTCAGAAAAGGACTTGACGATAAGGTTGCTCCAAAGGGTTGCTATGTTTCATTTGAGGTAAGTGGGAAGTGGATGTACTCGGATGTTGTTCTCTCTTTAGAAGTTATGTATTGTGTTCGTTGACACTTGCGTTAGTGAATGTGTTTTGAATATTTAGATTGAAGTGGATGGTAAACCCAAACAAATCAAATGGTATAAGGATGGAAATCCAATCGAAAAAATGAAAACGAAAACGGAAGATTTGGGCAACGGTAAATATCGACTGATTATTCCGGAAATGAATGAAGAAGATGTTGGCACGTACACAGTAAAAGTATCGAACGAAATAGGGTCAGCTGAAAGCAGTGCAAAACTAACCATTGAGCAGGGTATGTTTCTTTTTTGTAATTCGGGATCATTGAATCAATGGATTAGGTATGTGAAACCGTTATTGGTTAGTTGGCCGTATGCCTTCTTACTAGGTGTTTTGCATAAAGTTGGGATTAGAACTGCATCCTTACAATCTACATTTCTTATTCATCAGGTTGAATTGACGGTGCGTTTCAGTGAATATTATGCAGTAATTTGTCGGCACTGTTATATAATATGTCAATTTTAAGTGGCCCCGACAACAATCGAAATAGTTAACGGTCTCAAGGATGCTTCAGTTGCTGAAGGTGAACAGGTTCAGCTAGAAATTGAGACCAGCTCGAAACCGGAAAAGGCCATATGGTTAATCAAATTTTCCAAGTTTTCCAATCATTGGTTCCATCTGGTTTTATTTTCGCTAAACTGTTGACGTTTCGTCAGAAAATCCCATTCTTGAACGTTTTCATTCATTCACATTTTTGTTGCCTTCATCTGAAACTGCTTCTATGAAGTCAATAATTGTTCAGGTATAAAGATGGTGACGAAATAAAGCCATCAGATGAGTACAAGCCAGAAATAGTCAATGAAACAACGTGTCGATTGACGATACCATCAGCAAACGCTGGCGATACGGCCGACTTTAAGGTTGGTTTTTCAGATTGAAAACTTACTTCATGTAACGTTTGAAGATAATTGTTTTGAATAAAACCGTAGTTTGTTCACTGAGACTTTCGACGTTATAAGAGGGAACACTGGTTGTATGTGTACAGGGTAAATTCTTCGAAAACAGCAATAATAATTTAGCTTTGACAAAACGAGTCTGTTTGAGGTAATCGTATGGAAAGACAATGAAAGTGCCCTTTCATCATGCTCTCTTGTCATTCATCCACCGTTACCAGTTGAGCTATCCATAACCAAAGCTCTCCAAGATCAAACTGTTGCACATGGACAAAAGGTTGTGCTCGAAATTGAAGTCAGTCATCCTCCTAAACAAGTCAAATGGTATGTGAATTATTGTTGCGCATAGTGTGCCCGCCATTTGCATCTCTAAAGTTCAAATGAACATTTACCATTTTTATTGCGATTCAACAGTTTTTATTAACGTTTCAGGTACAAGAACGGCAAAGAAATAACGCCGAGTGACAAGGCTCGGGCAATAGCCATTGATGACAAGAAGTTCCAGCTTGAAATACCAGACGCAGATAAGAATGATTCGGCTGATTATACGGTAGGATTGGTTTTGATGGTTGGTTCATACACAGTGTATCACATTGTTTTTAGGTAGTGGTCTCGAGTGATAATGCAAATGCAGTTGATTCAAGTTGTGCATTACGTGTTAAACTGCCGAAGTTAATCATTACGAAAGCATTGCAAGATCAAGTCGTGCCACATCACGAGACGGCGAAAATGAGCATTGAAGTGACACATGAACCGCGCAGCATTAAATGGTAGTTTATTTGAGGAGTGAAAGATAAAGTATTTCATTCATTCCTACTTTGTTTGATAACGAGAACGAGTTTCGCAGGTACAAGAATGGCAAAGAGATTTCACCAAGTGATAGAGCCAAACCGAAAAAGATTTCTGATACTAAATATGCTTTGGAAATACCCGAGGTGACAGCCGATGACACAGCTGAATATTCGGTACACACTTCAAGACTCTTACCTTTTAAGATGTTAACATTCGTATTCGATTTATGAGAAATATTATATTTGCATTGCATAATTTTGTTCATGCCACAAATATTCTCGTAATATTTTCACTTGTTTAAATTTAAATATGAACATAATGAATGTTTTGGAATGCAATTTAATATGATTGATAAAATAAATTTTGGGTAATCAAAAAAATTTGTTTAGGTATTTGTTGAAGACGATGATGGTAATAATGCAGATTCATCATGCGCTCTTACCGTGAAATTACCACCTCTTGTAATCACGAAGAAACTCGACGATCAGTCGGTTAATGTTGGTGAGAAGGTTCACATGGGCATTGAAGTAAACTCAAAGCCAACAACAGTGAAGTGGTTAGTTGTCGAAAGAGTTGTGTAACAGATGACATGACGTTTATTATTTGTTTCTGTGAGATAATAGTGAGTTGAAGCGAATTGGGTTGCTGTTCTCAATAATATTCAAATTGAGTACGGGCAAGAGTTGGATGCGAGCGATAATTTTTGTTAACAATGATCAGACAGAATGCAAACTTATTTTGTTGTCTCTATAGCTTCTCTGTAATCTCATCCTGCAGTGCAATGAGACTAATTATTGTCTCAGAACGGTGTTTGACAAATTGTACGCCAAATGCCTAGTAGCAGTAATCTGGTCACAATCCCTCTCCTCCCCATCATGTGAAAGTCATAGTTAGGGGCTTGATGTACACATAGAGCGCTTTTTAAATATTTTATAAGCCCGCACTTCATAAACAACCACTCTTATGTTATCTACATTTATAGGTACAAAAATGGTAAAGAGATAACCGATGCAGATAAAGAGAAACCAGTTGAGGTGAACGATACAAATTATCAACTTGAAATTGCTGACGCTTCTTTGGATGAAACGGCCGACTATAAGGTTTGTCGTTTGCAGCAGCTATATTATATCTCATTCTGTAACGCAGCACTTATTAAACGTTTCTTTTTCACTCGTCACCTCACTTCAATCGGTGAATTTTAACGCGATCGCCTGGTATAATAGTCTTTATTTTGATGTGGGTTTTAATTTGAATGAAGTAATTTCTGTTCAGTTAGTGTTGCTATACGTTCTATGTACTATAGTATTATTTGTTCAGAAGATTTGATTGTTGCTAAATTTATTGCGCCCTGTTAAGCAATCAATGAAATTTGTATTATTCGTAAATTATTTGGTTTATCACTCCTTATTGTGGTATTATGTGATATTTCAGGTGGTGGTCTCAAATGAGGATAGCAGTGCAGATTCTAACTGCAAGCTAACAGTGAAACAACTAATTGAAAAACCTTCATTCAAAAAGGGAATCGAAGATAGTTATGTTCCTGTTGGAGAACCTTTCGTGATTCAAATTGAGGTAAGTCAGTTGCTCTGGTATTCCCTTGCAGAGTGCATTCCTCGGTGATATTGTTTCTTAATGATTGTTCTATTTCATAGAGAATGGTAGTAATAATGCAGGTTGATGACCATTGCTGGTAATGCTAAATTCAAAAATTTTATGAAGGTCAAAATAAAGTTAAACCACCTGCCGTTGAAGTGTGAAGTGCCTTGGTTTATCGCGTACGTCTGTCTTATTTTCGTAGGAAAAAATTTGATTATGCACAATGAAAGTGATAAAATTATTGCATCTTTCATGTTATTGCAACTCGTCAGAAATAACGCTCCAAGTTCACTTCCTATGACTCAGTGCACTTCTTGTTCAGTCTCCTCAAGTTTTAGAATATGTGTGACAAAAAGTGCTTGTCAGTGTTCAGTGATAATGGCGATAATAACAGTGCTTTTTACAGACAACTGGTTGTCCAAAGACAGTGAAATGGTACAAAAATGGTCAAATAATATCAGCAGATAAGATGGGAAGAATAAAGATGAAGAAGATCGACGACAATAACTATGTGTTATCGGTGGAGAAGAGCGAAGTTGATGCTGATTCGGGAACGTATTCAGTTGTGATCGAAAATGAAGCTGGTAAAGCAAAGAGTTCAGGAGAGGTTAGTTGATCATATCGCTCACTTTTTCGTCTGAAACACATACGAATAGCTAATTGATCACTGTTTAGCATATAACATGAATTTTTGTGATTGTGTTATTTATTTCATGAGATGTTCGACTGGGAACGAGTTGTTTTTTGATTACAATTTTAGGTGACAGTTGAGCCAGAAATTGTTTTTATTGAACCGCTGAAAGACGTCGATGTTGTGGAAGGAGAAGAAGCAGAATTGACAGTGAAGACAAACTGCCATCCGCATACAGTAAAGTGGTACAAAAATGGAACAGAAATAAAAGCAGTAGATGGCAAATTAGCAATGATAAACAATACAACCAAGTTCAGAATTAGAATTCCCAAAACTGCGATGAATGACGCGGGAGCATATAAAGTTAGTTTTCTTTTGTGTTTTTCTCGATCAGTTCAATCGAGTGAGTTTTTCAAACTTAAGCAACATTTCATGATTTGTGCATCCTTTCAACAATTTCAGATCGTTTTGTCGAATTCAGTTGGTGATGCTGATTCTACAGCTAAATTGACGGTTCGAAAAGCGAAGGGTCAACCGATCATTACTAAGGGTTTACATGATCAGGTAAAAAAATTTTCAATATTTTTCGATTGATTACCATCAACTGCTGTCAAAAAATTACCTGTATGTGCCGTCCAATAATACAGCAAGGTTCTTTTAGAGTAAAATTATTTTTGGATAGAGTTTTGGTCTGCGTTCAATTATCAGTAGGAAAAAAGCATAAAGATGACTGAATGACGGTTTAAAGAGGTGTGCTGTAATCAGTTGCAAAAACAAACGAAATAAGCCAATTACAAAATATTACTATCGAATTGTCCAATAGGTCATCGCCAAAGGCACCGAACTTATTCTCGAAATCAAAGTGGATGGTGAGCCTACCGAGGTCAGATGGTTGAAGAATGGCCAAATAATTTCAAAAAATACAAGCGCTAAAATCGAGAAGATTGATGGGGAAACGTGAGTTTTTATCTGTTTGTTAGTGTATCAGTCAAATCAAATTTGCAAAATATTGAATTCAAATGAGGCAAATGAGCAATTGCAGCTATCGATTAACGATCCCAAATGCGGACACAACAGATGCTGGTTCATATACAGCTGAGGTGATGAATGAAGTTGGTAAGCTTCATACAACGGGTAACATTGAAGTGGATGAAAAACCAGAAATAGTCGATGGACTTAAGGATGATGTTATGGATGAGGATGAAGAGCATCGTTTGACGGTCGAAACAAGTGTACCAGTGAGAACTGTGAAATGGTGGGTTGTTGACAAGTGGTTATAATTGCATTACTTAATTTAAATGTTGNTTTTTTTTCAATATTACCTGTTGTGTGGCTAATTGTTTATTGGTTCAACTTCTCGACGAATTTATTGTTTCATCTAAAGCGACCCTATTTCTAAGGTATAAAAACGGTCGCGAAATTAAAGCAACGCCGAAGGTAACAATGAAAATGATCAACCCGAAGAAATATGAACTTTTCTTCGTCAGTCTAGTGCTGGATGACACTGCCACTTATAAGGTGAGTATTAAAAGATATTGCATTTTTTATGATGTTTTCAATAGAACATGCCATTTGAATAGAACATGCAATATTTGAACCAATCTGCTTTCAGGTGGTACTAAGTAATTCGGCAGGAGAATGTGATTCATCTGCCACTCTAACCGTCAAGAAACCAAATATCCTTCGTATAATCAAAGGATTAACAGATGTGAATCTGAATGAAGGTGAAATGATTGAATTGAGGGTAAAGGTTGAAGGACAACCGAGACAAGTTAAATGGTATAAGAACGGTCAACAGTTGTCAGCAGATACTCGAATAGAATTGGTAATTAATGTGTTATATCGTTCATTTATTATTGTTTGGAATGTCACATTGTTATCATGCAATGAAATGATATATTCTCATTAACAACCAAAAGTTTCAACTTATTCATTTATTACTGTTATGAAGTTGACAAGTTATTTGAATCGTTATAGATAGAGAATAGTGATACTGGTGAATACACGTTGAAAATACCAACTTGCCAAGCAAAGGATGGAGCAGCGTATCGTGTTGTTTTGAGTAACGAGAAGAGTGAAGTGCAGAGCAGTGCCATAGCTCATGTTAAAGGTGAGTGATTAATTGAAATGAGTACCAGGTCGTACCTCGAGAAGAATTCGTTTCAGTTTTAAAAACAATTATCGTTTCAGTCAAGAAAGTGGAACCAACCGTATCAGCTCCGTTGTTCATAACACCTCTTGAAGATGTCAGCCTACCGGAGGGTGAAACCTTAACACTGAAATGTAAGGTAACCAACGAACCGATACCGGAAATTAAATGGTACATATTGATGAACTTATTATCATTGCTATTCATTTGCCATTATTTTTCGAAAACAGTTTATTCGGTTGATGCAATTAATTGTTCATTCCGAATCGAGTTTAAGGGAGAGAGATGGAGTGGAAATGCACAAAAGTGATCGTATTGTGATGCGAATTGCACTTGATGGAACTGTGACATTACGAGTGATTGATGTGAACGGAAGTGATGCAGCTAAATATTGTGTGAGGGCCACTAACTCTGTGGGCCAGTCATCGTCTGAATGTAATGTGACGGTTATATCAGAACATGATATTCCATGTGCACCCAAATTTGTGATTCCTTTGAAGACAACCTCTGTAGAAGTGGCAAGCAAATGCGAATTATGTGTCAAAGTGCGTGGATTACCGAAACCAACGCTGCGATGGTGAGTCGTTGATTATAAGGTGTCGGGAATGCAAACGTGAACGATCGGATGAAAATGAGAATCGAAGAAATTGTTTTAAGGTTTATCAATGATAGAGAAATAACAGCAGCTGATGATATTGTGATCGAAGATATGAGTGATGGACACTGGACAATGCTAATACCGGAATCAAGGAGTGAGGATGCAGGGATCATAAGGTGTGAAGCCAGAAACGAGCATGGTAAAGATGAATGCGAAGCGGAATTAAGATTAACTGAGCCAAAACCATCCAAACTTCATGATGAGGAAGGTTATCCGCCGAGATTCAATGTACCACTTTGGGATCGTCGTATTCCCGAAGGACAGTTGATGTCGATTGAATGCCACGTAGATGCGAAACCTATGGCTGATATCAAGTGGAGCAAGGTTTATTTTTGTTTTTTGTTCCATTCAGTGATCATAAGAATAAGTTGTTGAATTATTTTAAGTAATAATTTCTTGTCGCATTTCAGTGGTTTTCTCATATTATGATATCTTTTTGAAGGATGGAGTTAGCTTGAGTGGAAGTGATCGATTAACAATTACGAATACGTCCGATGGAGCGTGTCGTCTGCGTATTATTATGTTTGATCAAAATGATACGGGCATTTATAAATGTTTAGCAACAAATTCATACGGTTCAGCAGAGACACATGCCAGTCTAAATGTTCAGGGTGCTTGTTTGTTTCATTATTTTAGCATTTAACTTTTTTTTTTTTCAAATAACAACAGCACATACATATTTATGTTATATGGATACATCTCCAAAGGCATGCGAGAGACGCTTACACAGAATTCAGATACTATTAATGCATTTCAGTCTTTTCCACTTCCAAATAAAAAGATAATGATTTGAATTTTGGAGTAATCAAAGAATTTGATGTGATTCGTTTCTAGAGTAAAAACTTTTCAAAATGATAACTTATTGAAATAATGATTAATTGATAGTAATAGAAATGTATCTACTTTATTGAGGATGATCGTTTAACATTTTAACAGCTGAAAAATATTTTAGTTGAAGAAATGGAAAAGAAGGAAGAAAAAGTGGAGTATGCTCCTCGCTTCAACCCACCACTAACAGATCGCTTCGTGAACGACGGTGAAAAAACGATTCTGAACTGTCGTGTTGACGCGGTCCCAACAGCAAGCGTTATTTGGTATAAGGATGGCATTCCTCTGAAAAGTGACGGTAGAACGTCAACCGAATGCGACGATGAAGGCAACTGTCTTCTGACCATCTTCAGTGCGAATGAATCGGATGATGGCGCATATAGATGTATTGCTACCAACATCCACGGTTCTTTCTTCTTCTTTTGATTCAACTATATTTGAAGTAGTTTATCAGAGGAATATTTTGTTTTTGAATTCGGTTATTATTATCCTCAGAATGAATACAATTTATTATGCATCAAATGTTCTATCACATCAGTCATTATATGTCAGTTCATTGATTGTTAGTTTTGTTTAGGAAGCACGAATACAGCATGTGTACTGAGTGTGAAGAAAACGAAGGAGCAGGTGAAAAAAGGTGGTGAGGAACCGTTCTTCACCAAAGGCCTTGTTGATAAATGGCTTGATCGTGGGGATACACTCGAGCTGTCATGTACGGTTATCGGTGATCCCGAACCCACCATCAAATGGTTTGTTTCGTGTTTGTACTTAACCTGTTATTTGATCATCATCTCCAGTTGTAATATCGTAGATACTCAATTATTGTTAGCACACTTCATCAGTTAGTTTCTTATGATGATAACATTCGAAAGGTATCGCAATGGAATGTTGTTACGTCCAACAGCACGTATCAAGATTGAAAAATGCGACGACGGACGATGTACGCTAGTGATTAATGACTGTACAATGAGTGATGAAGGCATCTATCGATGTGAGGCAGAAAATTCATTTGGTAAAGCCAAAACTCAATCAACCACACACGTTCATAGTTCGTATTATCTATTTTCAATGCATTTTATATCTGTAATGCATCAATTTTGTAATGATTCGTGTTCAAATGTTCTACTTTTTCAATGTGCAACAAATATTGTTTTGTGAAATGTACGACCTCAGATCATATTGTAATTCGTTACATCTTTTTTATAATAAGTATTTTATTTGAGTAGTTCTCATTTCAACTGAAAAGTAAACTGTTTTGCACGATTTGTTTCATTAAAAAGCGGGAGGATTCTGATTTCATGAATGTTGCAGTGGCTGTTGGGAAATCAGATGCGAAGAAGATAGCTGAAGGTACAGCTCCACGCTTCGTAATTCCACTTGAAGATTTGGTTGTGCATGTTGGATCAACTTTTGAACTTGAATGTAAAGTCACAGGTAACCCATCGCCACAAGTTAAATGGTTCGTAATTAATTCATCCTTCAAGCATTCCAAGTTGTTTGTCATTGACTGTGCGATTGCTGTTTTTATTATTAATGTCAGTGTTATTATTATAAATGTTGTTATCACTGTAAATATGATTATTATTATTGCTGTCATTAAACCGACACTTGTTTACAACGATACACACATTATGGTGCCATTAAACCCCCAACAATATCAAGTGAATGATTGTAATTGGTCAGGTTCATTCAGGTCAAAAGATGGAGCGCCCATTTGGAATGACCCACAGTATTTGTTCGAATCTGACATGAACACAGGTGTTCATAAGTTGAAGGTATATTTAGCTGATACCCGCTTTGTTTCGTTTTCGATCCCATATGGTTGGGGTTCACGTTTCGATCTCAATGAATGATTAAGAGTAGCAGTATGCTTTCAGGTTGTGAATGCGGTATTCGATGATGAGGGTACCTATCGATGTGTCGCCACAAATGATGTTGGCTCAGCGACAACCAAATCATTTGTTAGATTCGATGGTATCTATATTGCTGTCCGAACATTATTTCATCTCTTTTCAGTATATCTTGTTTAGAATGATATTCTATATTGTTCTCGTCTGGTTTTCAGATGGTTTAATAACAGATCGAATGCCATCCGTATTGCCACCTCGCTTCGCCATTTCTCTTGGAGATGCTCGTGCTGTTGAAGGTGCTTTCATTGTGCTCTTCTAAGCAGTTTTTCAATTTACATTCAATTCTTTTATCATTTTCAGTAAAAGTTGCTCTCGAAAAGCGTCAAATAAATTGTCATCTTTGTTTTATAGTTCGATTCCGTCTTTTAAATCTGGAAGATTCATGCTGATACTCAATGTTGTTCAGGTGAAACGTTGAAAATGGAATGTAAAGTGGAAGGAGTTCCTCTTCCATCTCTTGTATGGTACAAAGATGGTGAAAAGATTACGCCATCTGACCGCATAAGAACGGAATTAGACGCAGATGGCAGTGCACGTCTCGTAATTTCACCTTGTAATGTTGATGATGAGGGTTGGTTATTTTGTGGGCAATATTTGTTCGTTGATATTATATAATCAGTCATTCGATGATGCTCAGTTGACTGGTAATGTTGAACAGTTAAATTTAAAGGTATCTATCGTGTCATTGCCACTAGTTCATCCGGTTCGACACACGACAAAGGTACTGCCTACGTGAAGAAATTACCCGCTGGTGTACAGAAGGCTGATACGATGAGGCATCTTTTTGAAGCATTCATTTATTGACATATTCATTCTTCATCTGTCATAATTTCTAGAATTTATTATCCGGTTACTAATCGATTTCTTAGCATGTGATTGTTCGTTTTCAGAGAACCATCTGATACATATCATGCACCGAGATTGATTGTTCCACTAGAATCGACGAAGACTCTTGAAGGTGCTCGACTCGTTTTAAGTTGTCGATTCAGTGCTGATCCAAAAGCAACGATCAGGTGGTTCAAAGATGGAGAACGTGTGTATGCATATGGCAATTGTCAGTTGGTGAGTGGAATAGCTGTAGATCTTATTCGTTTGCAGTGCTCTCGTACTTGAATTTATCACATCCTGATTTAGTCCTGTGGTGAGTTCTACGATGCAGCAGCCACCGTTGTTACAACCCCAATACCATACTTGTTTCGTCGAATTTTATCCTTTTCAGTCAATAATCACTGAAAGTGTTTTATTCAGGTTGAGAACGATGATGGAACATGCGAACTGATATTACAGTCTGTCGGAAGATTTGATGGAGGTGCTTATCGTTGTGTGGCTGAAAATGAATACGGAAGTGCCAGAAGTACATGTGAAGTTGTTTTGCAGTGTATGTTTACATTTTCATCTCTATGCTATTATTATTATTATTATTATTATTACCAGCAGAAGCAATACGCTTGAAGTAAATCGTCCGTTTCGTTCTCCTATTAAGGTACTTAATTTTCTTGGTATCTAATTTTAATTCATCCAGCATTTAACCGGTTTTGAAGAAACACAGCTCAAAGAAAGATGGGTTCTTCAATTATTGTTGAATAAAGCCAGAAAGAGCTTTTTTTGCACGTCATAAGCCTGGAGCTTCATACCAAGAAATACTGAAGTAGCAGTGGGTGCGCAAGAATAAATTGCATCGATTAGTGAAAGGATTAACGTAAAAACTTTATATTGAGCTCGTTTTAAAACATTCGCTTCATTTCAGTGAAGGAGAAGAAAGCATCAAGAATCGGCGATGAATTGAGTGAGGGTAAAGCCCCGGGATTCATAGTACCACTAATGATGAAGCGAGTTAAGCAAGGTGAAAGTGCTGTTCTGGAATGTGTTCCATATGGCAAACCATTCCCTAGCATTAAATGGCTCAAAGACGGCATCGAAATCACTGAAGATAACAATATGCAGGTATTGAAATGCACTTGTTACGACTAAAAGTACGTCATAATGATAGTTCTTTTACCATCATTTTGCATAGCAGATTGAATGTATGGAAGACGGTGTTCAACGTCTCACAATCAAACAAACAGAATTTTGTTACGAAGGATATTATCGATGTGTGGCTACAAACGAATTTGGTACAGCATCAACCAAAGGAGAGCTCGTTGTTGAAGGTTGTACATTGAGCATTGCATCAGTTGATTGGTTCTAGATTCGTTGTGTATGATGAACATTAATTTTGAGGTGATCGAACGATTCATGTGAAGAAAGCTGAAGAGTTGAGTGCGGAACCCGTTGAAAGTAAGCCTCGTATACGGCGTGGTCTTTATAATATGAGCATTCATCAGGTTATTCTTATGTGCTTGAAGTACAAGACTGGAATTAATATGCACCATTGATATAAGTTGAAGTGGTGCGATTTTGTAGGGCAGTACAATAGAAATGCAAGTATGTACAAGTGGGTGGCCAACACCAACTGTAAAATGGTTTAAAAACGGAGAAGAAATAAGTGGGGAAGGTGCTGATGGACGTCGTGTGATATGGACAGATGAGCGTGGTATACATCGTTGTGTTATCCTCAACTGCCTACCTGAAGATGAAGGCGAGTATGCATTAGAGGCAAGCAATAAGCTGGGTTCGGCTCGTACTGAAGGTTTGGTTAACGTTGTCAGACCAAGAGAAGTGCAGATGTTCAGGGATACAGCCGATCGGTTCGTGTGTTCATTTTTCATTAATTCACATTTTAATATAAAGCATTTGTCTCGTATGTTACATTCATCAAAAGGTTTTTTTTTTGTAGATCCGGTATGCCGTATCCTCCAGGATTCATTCGCCAACTTAAGAACAAACATATCTTTTCGCGTATGCCAACCATTTTTGATTGTTTGGTCATCGGTCATCCGCCACCAGAAGTGAGTCGTTTTATGTTGATAATAGTTTTGCAATTGACGACGATTGAAGCCATACTATCGTTATGCATATTTAAAGGTTGATTGGTATCACAATGGCAAAAAGATTGTACCGGGTGGTCGAATCAGAATTCAGTCGTGTGGAGGTGGTTCTCATGCGATTATTATATTGGACACGAGTGTTGAAGATGCTGGTGAATACGTGGCGGTTGCACGTAACGGCTCCGGAACAGCGTCGAGTAGTGCAGTTTTAGATGTTACAGGTGTGCTTTTTCATTCATTCAGTGATATTGCGCGGTCTTTCATGAATAATGTAAAATTTGATGTTCACTCGTTCAGTGATAAAACTATGTAGTGGCATGGTGTTATTCTTAATTTTCGCTGCATTTCTTCAGCAATCCATTTTCATTGTTCACGAAGTAGTTTTGAAGAGTACGTATATGCAGTTTGCTCGCTGATTGGTATTGCCGTTTGAAAATAAGCCATTAGAAAACAATCTCATTTGAGTAGTTTCAGTGCCGCATCTTGATGAAATCAAGTTTGACGGTTCGGTTGATGTTACACCCTACCTGACTGAAGAGTACGGATTCAGAAAGCTCAATTATGCCGGTATGCTTCATTCTTTTATTCAGTCCGAAACAGCTGTTCACTCGTCTATCCACTGTTCAATTGCGCATACACGTTTTCAGCTTTTCCAACTCCACCAGATCGTGGACCGTTCATTAAAGAGGTAACTGGCCATTATTTAACTCTTTCATGGATTCCAACCAAGCGTGCGCCACCACGTTACCCACAGGTGACTTATGTGATAGAGATTCGTGAATTGCCAGAGAAAGAATGGACCTTGGTGAGTTAAATATCATTATAATATTTTATTTCCGAGTGAGAATACTCCATTGATGATCAATTGTTCACTCACAATCAGTGTCGAACCAATTCTTGTTCACTTAATGATCAAATTTCATTTTTAAGGAGCTTTGTATAATTCACAACTCTGAAACTTGAATTAAACTCATCATGCAAAAAATTAGTTTTGAAATACTGTTCTGAAATTTCAACGTTTTAGTTGGATTATAACATACCTGAACCAGTATGCAAAGTGCGTAATCTTGAATTGGGGAAAAGTTATCAGTTCCGTGTTCGTGCAGAGAATATCTATGGGATTAGCGATCCATCGCCAGCATCTCCACCATCTCGTCTGATGGCACCACCGCAACCAGTTCTTGACAAAAATAAACGTGTTATTCCACTCCTGGACCCATACGCCGAGAGGGCATTAGATCAAGCGTATGCGCAGCAGTATGGTTCGTTTCTTTCGATATGATATGATATACCGAAAAAGGCATGTATGTCTCTGTTGGTTAAGCTAAGAATGTATTAGCCAAATTCACAACGGCACAGCTGAAAGCAGAATTTCGATAAGTGCTATAAGCAAATTATTGTAGCAGTGATACGGCATTGTTCTATCCGTTCTTCACTTTTATGCACATTTTAATTAAGTCACTGGATTTCAGTAAAACGCAGAGTGTTTATTTATATTTCATTAAATCTAATGTTTACGCTTTTTTCTTATTAAAACGCATAAAAGTATAATTTTTCTGTCTCTGATATGATGCGTATTTCTAGCGTGTGCACCTTGGTTTGCACCTGGTGTAGTTGAGAAGCGATTTTGCGCCGAAAATGACACACTCACTCTGACGTTACATGTTTCTGGATATCCGGATCCAAAAATTGTTTGGAAATTCAGAGGATGGGACGTGGATAGTACTGGACCGTTTTCCAAGTGAATATTTATCGTTGTTATTTTAAGAATAAGTTGTGTTATTGAAGAAAGTCGTTTATCGCGCAAAGAGTGCTGATCGAAACAGCATTAATAAACAGCACTGTGTTGCGCTTTCGTCGGCCGAAATGATTATATGAGTGTATGGTGACAATGAATGATTGTATTCAGCAAGTTTAAATTATCCCATACGAGGAGGAAAAATTGCAGTTTCATGATGTCAGTTGTTGAAGATGAAAGTACGAATGTAGATTAGCACTGAAAACTGCGTAAATTATAGGAATCGCGTGACAACGTACGGCGGTACGGAAACGATTTTGACGATAACTGGATTCAGCAAAGAGAACGTTGGTCAGTATCAATGTTTGGCGAGCAATCAGTATGGAGAAGCGCAACAGAACATCTTCGTTGATCTTGCGAGTTAGATTATTATTGACTTAATCATATACTATATGTTCATGTGATGTAACACCACAATTATTTTCTTCATCTCTTATTCACGAATACAACTTGACTGAGTTTTTGCGTCTTCTCTCCAAATCATCGTGAAATTAAATTGACTTGTGTTCTTTTGAATTGAATGTATTGATCAGTCAACACCGTCACGTGTTGTTGATTTTCTTAGGTCGGCCATCATTTTTGCAACCACTTGTCGATAAGACGGTATCAACGTCGAAAGTTCTGCGATTGGATGTCCGTGTTGAAGGAAATCCATTCCCTGAGCTGAAGTGGATGAAGGTGAGTAATTACTGAGAATGTAGCAGTCACGTGACATTCTCTTCGTCTTTTAGTGAAAACTGATTTATGAAGAGGTTATTGCCACTCTTTTTGATGGAGATCATATTATTAATTTAATATTGTTTTCAGCAGTATTATTAATATTGCTGAAAAGATAGCTGAATAGAAGAGAAGTTTGGTGATTTGTTGAGAGTAACGATTTAGAACGGTTAATGATTCGTCACAAATGTGGATGTTCCAGGAATGGAGACCGATTGTAGAGTCGTCGAGAGCGCGTTTCGTTCACGAAGGTCCGTATCTGTGCTCGTTAATAATAACTGACCCTATGTGGCGTGATAGTGGCATTTATTCAGTAACAGCAATCAATGAAGCCGGTAGTGTAACCACCTCGTGCACGGTTACTGTCCAAGGTTGAATCTTATCAACTATTATGCTAATGCATGCTGCTAAGTTTTAATTTGCATTATACCTCGTCTACTAACGAGACGAATTAATTAGAGCAGAAACGATGTCACTGCTTTCACTGAGTTATTATTGTCGCTATTCGCATGGTCACTTGGTGTTCGCTGCAACTTTCGTTTTGAGAGTTTTAAATTGGTGAAAAGGACTGGCAAGTAAGAGCATAATATAACTGATAAGGTGACTGTAAGAAGTTGATATTACGAAATATCAATTTTATCGATACGTTTGCAACTGAGGTGTTTCTTATGTTGCTTGGCAGTTTCAGCTGAGGACCCTTACAAAGACGTACAGTTACCAAAAAAGAAGGTGGCCTTGGAATCGAGAAAGGTTCGAGAGCTGTACGAAATCGATGAAAATGATGAAAAGTAATCAAATAACTGTCATCTCATTCTTATCAGCACGTTTATCTTCATCAGTCAATTTCCGTCAATGCTATTTTACTTTTTCCACAGTTTTATCAGTGCAGTTATAATTCAGATCAGAATAACCAAAATTTGCGATTTCTAATTTCGGAGAGTCAGATTCAGAATGAAACCGATGGATAATATCGTTTCTTCATAGTAGTAATTATTATTGAGTTGCATTTAACAGTATTAGTTTATGTTCATTTTTTGATTATTATTAATAATGGTATTAATGTTACCTGTTTCATTTCTGTGATCATTTCGTAAGTATTCATATTGACGGTGATGTGCTGTGCATAACAAATACGTGATTTGTTTCTTTTGCCCTTTGTTGACTTCCTGTCAGTATGCGTTGCCTTAACTTGATGATTTTGAATGCTTTATAAACGATCAATGAAACGCTTTTCATCGAAAGAAACTGAAGGCAAAGTGTAATGACTGGATGTCGATGAAGGATACGAGGCGTGTGTTACTGATATGTAAATTACAATTGTGCGATCATATACGTCAAACTCGAATGCTACATAATAAATATATGGTGCTGGTCATCTGATCCTCGTTGATTGATTTGATGATTATATGTGTGTGCCAAGAAATAGCTTGCTTCTTTTCTGCTTTTCCATTTTCAGCGTTTTAGTTGACGTGATAAAGGAGGTGCTCCTTCCTAAAGCAGTTACAAAATGATATTAGTGTTTTCAAAAGAAGCTCGAGCAGAAAGGCCACACAAATAATCACTTCAATTCTATCGGCGGATCAGTGACTGTCCATGTCATTGGTCGTTAGGCTTTTTTGATCAGATATGATAAGCTGAAACGAGATCATTGCATATTTATGTATAAGGTAGAAAAGATGTGGATAAGAGAATGGAATGCATCGTAACTTGTACATTGACGCGACACAGGCATTTATTTGATTTTGAGCGATTGTCAGCTAGAGTGAGATTTTGTGAAAGGAAAGCATTCCATTCTCTATTCATTTTGATCAGCCTCAACTCCTACTCCTACTTTCTGTGTACAAATGGTCTTACTGCTTTAGGGCGGCTGCTGCAGGAGCACCTTTTCACGTCACTGAACGCGGAACTGGAAAGCGTTTCTTGGCACAACTACGGGCGCTTGATGAAAATCTTACAAGAAATATTCAGTTTCATAATACACTCGACCATCCAAATATCGTTCAGTTTCATCAAGTTATTATGGATCAAGGCATTGCAGTTCTCATCTACGAAAAGTAATCTATTCAAATTCATAGTCATTTTTCTTTCGAAAATCACAATTCATTTTATCAGTTTATCAATTTTTTGTGCATGTTTTTATCAGCTGTTAACCAAGAGTAGTTACAGATAACGTTGAGCATTTCTTGATCACTTCGAAATTAGAGCTAATATCTTTTCGTGGGGGTTCAGACTGTATAAGTCATTCATTGATGATATATGGAAATATTTTTAGAAAAAGAAAACAATTGCAATAAATCATCAGCTAATAAGTTTTGCCCAAAAGTAACAATTATTAGGTTGAAGCTTTTTCGAATTCAATGAGTTTTTTTCAAAACATCTAAAGTGCTGAACTTCTTTTTTATATATGTAAATTGGTAGGTGTGCAACTTGCTCTTTAACTTTCCTAGTTGATTCTTTCATTTTCGCATCATCGATGTAGGTAAAATTTAGAATGTTTGTTTTATTTGAAACGTGGTGTGCACATATCATTAATCAGTCGTTATCATTATCATTCTAGCAGCAGCTGCTAAACAAACTCTGCATTCAAAACACATTCATTCACCTCCCACTTAACTATTTTTAAACACGAAGTGCATTTTTATAATGATGAGCACTTGCTAGTTTAAATTGAACATTCACTCATTCATCCTGCTTATCCTATCACCTCACTTCGTTTCGTCCGCCTCTAGGCTGCTGCTAGATGAACGATGGTCTACGAATGTATCGATCTGTAAGATTGCTTTTACCTTCTACTTTGTTTATAGACTAGTACAATATTATTGGAGTAGTAATGATAGTAATTTCAGTAAAATATAATCTCTTTTAGTGAGTAATGAAAGCAGTGCATATTCGATTCCAGTTTTATTCTGCCTCTAGCAAAAATTGTTTATCGAAAGTGTTACTAGGAGATGAACCTTAGAAATGTATTCGTCTACAACAGCAAAAAGAATGTTTTCTCGCCAAAAGAATTCAAGGTTGAACACAAAAGCGTAATTGCTCAGACGTTAATGTCTATTGCAAGTGAATAAAGTGAGTGCGTTAACAGTGTTGGACGTACATTGCTAGACGGTCTTGTTGCTGGTCCATCATCGCAGAAACACAGATGTACTGAATATCAAGTGCAGGTGTTCGTCAAGCAGTTATTAACTGCGCTCAAATTTATGCACGATCGAAAGATCGCTCATCTGGATTTGCGACCTGAAGTGATTCTCCTTCAGGATGATCATTTATGCTTAGCCGATTTTGGACAAAGCAGGTTCTTTTTGTGATGAAATTTCGAGAAAATTTCTTTTTTAGAATTTAAGTTTTTTGCTCTTTTATTCAAGAACTTGTGAGAATGTTTTAACCAAGTTGGATGCAAAAGATTCATTAGCCGACTAGATGAAAAATAATATTTGAGGCGATCCGTTAGAGGAAAAATTGTCGCTAATGTGATGAGCAGTCCGGAATTTGTGTCACCTGAAATCGCTGCTGGTTTACCAGCAACTCTGGCATCGGATATGTGGAGTGTTGGAGCACTCACATATGTGCTGTGAGTTATTCATTATCGTTACAGTTCTGAATTTCTTTTATGAGATTCTTTTGTGTTTTCTTCTATGTTTTAAAAACAAAAACATTCTTTTATGATAAAAAGAGATTGATAGACGTACAATTTTTTGTTGAACATACCATTGTTGACTTAAATTATTAAAGATTGAGTGGAATTTCACCATTTCTTGGTGATAGTGATGCGGAAACAATACGAAATGTGCTGCATTCGAATTATTTGCTAGATACTGAAGAACTGTCACAAGTCACTGATGAAGCCAAACAGTTCATCGCCAATTTGCTGGTTCTTGATCCAAAGTATGCATTTCATATGGACATTTATATACATCAATCATAAACCAAATGTTGAAGTCGATCATATTTAAATCGCGTATCAATTGTAATGTTATGCCTTTAGTGAACCATTTTGTATGCTAGATATTAGTTGATGAATTATCCTTGTTCACATATTTTCTCAATCATTCGATGAGCTAAGTGAGCGTTATGCTTTGAAGGAAACGTCTCAATGTTAATGAAGCACTTAATCATCCGTGGTTAGCAGTTTCATTACTCGAGAACGCGAAATTAACTTCTGAATGTCTTCGTGAATTCAAGTATCGTCATAAATGGCTGGTTTGTTTCATTCTTTGCGTACGGTTTCAGTTGGCCTTTCTTTTTAGCTGTGTTCGTTTTCAATAATACGTATCGTTGCTGCTTATGTCCATTTGGATTTAACAATGAAACCATGCCTTGAATAAATCGCACGATTCCTGTTTTTTAGGAACGTCGCGTTTTTGTGCAGCAAACTCCGACTCAACGATCCATCACATCTTTGCAGGTGTTTTTTCCATCACTTTATTATTATTATTATATTGTATTATTATTATATGATTATCGGTGATAGTGTTATATTTGTGATGGATATATAATTCAAAAATTAAAACAGAGTCCGGATGCGCATATTGCTTCAACAGAAGCACAACATGGATTACTGAGTCAGAGTGAAGCGTCGGGTATTAGTGATTATGTTCGTATCAAAGATCATATCCCACCTCGCACGGATCACATATTTGCATCATCTACTGCCCTTGCTGCTGACAGCAGTCAACAACGAGCAACATCAAAACCTGGCGATTCTCAAAGAAGTGATACTGTTTCTGATGTGAGCGATGAACAAGTAAGATTACATTTTCTTCTCGAGACACGTACATTCGCACCTGCAACAGATGAGTGTTAATAAAAAAAGAAAATGGATGCAAATCATGAAAATCACGTCGTACCTAACATGCGATTAGAGTTAATTTAATTGATGAGTAGAATGAAAACTTGAAATTTGGATTGCAAAATTGAACGTATTTTTCCATAAACGCATTGCTTTTTCTTTAACAAGATCAGTATTTCTATGTATAAACAGTTACGGAGAATTTTGCAGATGCTGCCTTTGCGACTTGTACGTGGCGAATATCGTGATATAGAAGAAGAGATTGCAAATCGAATTCTATCTGATATTTCCGAAGAAAATTCGATTGCTTCAGCTGATGAAGTAGAGCAAGCAAATCGCACTGCTAAAGAGGTATATCGTAATGTTTCGCCAATAAGTAACAATTTGAGTACATTGTTGGACTTTCTTTAAGTGATTGAGTATTGTTTACAATTTAGTCACGACCATCGCGACAACCAAAAAGTCGTAGTAGATCGTCGACACCAAATGCAGAAGGTTATTCACTTGAGACCACTCCATTGATGTCACCAACTTTAACTATTGAAAGTGTTGAAACAACAACTCAGCAATTTTTTGCCGATAATGGCGATTTGGTTGGTAGTGCATTACATACATATAAACGTTTATTCTTTGTGGATGATTCGATCATTCCTCTGCCAAAAACTTTCCTTATCCCAACTCTGAATCCATTCAACATCGAAAATGTTTCAAAACTTTTCGATATAATTTGAATTCAGTTCATTTTTTCATTGGATATTTTTGCAATGGCTTTTCGAAGCTGCAAATCGCTCACTCAATGAAAGTGTATTTTTAGTCGCAACATCCTAGTCAGCTTGATCCTAAAGTCCCAATTGGAGCACCACTGTTTCTTGAAGGACTATCTCGGCCTCATGCCCTTACTCTTCAAGGTTCAGTTTGAGTTTTTGAGTCAGTTTTGTTTGCAAAATATCATCGATCTGTATCTTTGTTACAGTCCCATCGAAACTGATGGCAAATATAGTGTACCCCTTATAGTGTATGTTCGTAAATAATTTCTCCCATTTGAATAAATTTCTTCATTCCGTATAAAAAGTAAGGCTGCGAAATTCGTATCCCCAGCGTTCTTAATGAAGGTTTTACGTTATACACATATTCCGTTAAAAGTGTTTGAAAATGTCGAACAAATCCCGAACCTTGCGTTCAAGTGAACGTGATACTTTTTACCTCTCAATTTCAGATCAAGAAAGTCCTCAAAATTCGAGACATTCAATGAGTCCACGTTCATTACCCGGGACCAAAAGCCCTGTACTTTTATCACCTGGAAAGGAATATTCAATGGAAGTATGTTTCTCTTCTTGTTAATTGCACGACTGCAGTTTTAATATAATTTAACATTATCGTAAGATTGTGCGAATCTGAATAGACTGGTAGTTGGTGTACTATTTAATTCCAGGTCATAATTGGGACCAAGCAAGGTATCCCGCAAGTGGAGAAGACTCACTTTGAGATGACTGAAGAGATGAAACCCACGTGCCTAACATCGGCAAACAAAGAGCAGAAAGCAAATCAATCGACGCACGATGATGAATTTAACCGTTTTATGAATCAGATAGAATCAACGAAAGAATTTATGAGAAAAGATGTTTGTTTCATCTCTATTTCGTTGAAACAAACTTGTATCATCTTTTCATGCAGTTTCCTTTCATATTGTATATCATATCTCGAACTGTTATCTATCAAATCACTGATTCAATAGCAATTTTACTGTTGTGATTTCGTTTGATAACTTTTCTACTCTGTAGCTCTCATCTGTGATATTGTATAACATCTCACTTTCTCGATATAATCTTTTCCTTTTGGCTTTTCCCGTAAAAGGTTGCTAGAGCGATTTTTTTTCTTCCAACATGCATGAGCAGTTGGGTTTTCTGCTTTTACCGCTACTTCCTTCATGTCTTTCTTTATTAAATCAGTGAATTTTCGTTGTGGTTGGACTCTCATTCTTTTTAATGTGTTTCCAATTTCAGCCCCTTTTTATTCATCTTATCAGTGCACACGGGTCCGTTGCACTTTTCCTTGTTTTCCTTAATTTATCCCGTAGTGCTCCTCCCTCTGATGCGTACTCGTTCTTTCGTTTGCATTAATCAACGAATGTTGCAGCGAGACAATATGGAAAAATATCGACCAAAAAATTTCTACAAAGAAGACGATGGATACGATAGACCAACAATCGATGAGGATGATTTTGNTACCAAGTTAGATTTATTTGTATGATGCAGTAAATGCAGTAAAATTCACATAATGCTTTCCTGTCCAAAACATGCATCGCAAACATTGAGATTGTTCGCATGCAAAATCTCTATCGATATTGAACTGTAGAGTCGCATATAACTGTGAAAAGTGCCGAAAATTCACCTCTTCTTAATAGAACCTCTTGGTTGAAAGATTAACGACCAACACATTATTTGCAAAAACTCGACTTTTTATCTTCCAATAAGAATAATGTTTTGTTGGAAATGAACACATTGCGCGAATTTATGAATTATTAACATTTTCATTCATGGTAACTTACTATTAGTAATAATGTGTTTTTGAAAAGTTGTAAAGATGAGCATTAGGTTAATTAATTTATCATTCACGTATTGAATGCCGATTCACGCAGTTTTTGTATTGCATTCATTTGAGATTGGACCTGATACGCTGCTTTTGGCTACTCGGGGAGCGGCATTCAATGCTCGAGTTCGTGACTACAGAAGAGAGTTGTGGGGTGATGGTGCACCGTTTGTTAGTGAAGGCATACTGGGCTATCGAAATCAAGATATCACAGTCAGAGAAAGACGAAGGTGAATACAATTGCGCTTTAAATTCTTGGTCTTTTATTTCTTCAAGGAATACTTTTGTCAGCTTTTTGTCACTTTCAACTTTCGTGGAATTGAGCTGGACGAAAGACAAAACTTTTCCTCAAACTTCAGTTGAAAATTACTATTTACAATCTTCTTAAAGTGTGAATGATTCGGTGTTTCACAAATGCTTGCTTTTAGGTTTACCGATTTGTTGCGCGAAGATATTGGTATTGCGAAATCGGTGCGTAACTTGGAAAGAGACATGTGCAATTCACACAATGGGGCAATTCGACGAATTCAATGTGATATCAGTAAAATGGAACCAGAACCGAATAGAAAAGATGGAAGTAAGTTTTTTTATGTTGTTCGCTTCATCTCTTCATTAATATGATTTTAATCCTAAGAAAAAACGCGCTATGATTTTCTATTTTTATTAGTAATCGTTTAATGATATGCACAGTCGAAGTTGAATCACTCTTCGAGATAATTTCTTGCAGCTTTTGGAGCAATCTTTAAACGGCGTTTGAAGGATGTCGCATTCGTTGAGAATACTGGAAAAGTGGTATTCGAATGTGAAGTAATTGGTAATCCAAAGCCGACTATCGTTTGGTTCTATCATGAGAGTGCAATCACAAATGATGCAAAATATGAGGTATCAATAAACAGTTTGAGAAACGTCACAGAGATTACTGCTGACGTGAAACAGTGTGCGTAATGTTGCATGTTCAGATGCGTTCTGACGGTAGTGTGCATCGTTTGACTCTCAATCGTCCTTCACTGGCTGATGTAGGCGAATATTCTTGTTTAGCGACGAATCAACATGGCGCTGACAAAACATCAGCTCGTTTAATTGCTTCCGGTATTCTTCCACTCATTTTTATTGTCACTTCATTAAGACATTTGCAACGTTTCAGGACTAGCGATGCTTAATTCGAGAAAAACTGATCCAGCCCGGCTCCCCGTTTCTAAAATTTTCGACTTCAGCTCAAACTCTGCACTTTTCAAAACTCGGACTCCGACTTCGCATATTTTAAAACTTTGATTTCAACTCCTGCTCCAAATTTTCTAGATTTCTGCTCCAGGTCCGGCTCCGCGTTTCTGAATATTTCGGCTCCAGCTTCGAAATTTTGGAATTTCAGCTCCAAATTATTGAAGATTTTTGCTCGAGCACCAGCTTTAAAAAATGCTACGTTTAGCCCTGATCACAGCTCTGAAACTAAATCTTCTGATTTTTGGCTGTAGTTTGCATTTTTTCCTCGTTCCAGCGACGGCTTTTACTTCATCTTCTGCATTTGCTATGCGTAAGTAGCACAGATAATGGTGAAAATAACAACGCTGGTGATATACATGAAACTTGGTATAGAATATCACATTATCAATAGTTTCGATGGATAAGTAATACTGATCTTTGCGGGTTGGGGCTGAACTGAAAAAGGATCCCGCAAAGCGAAGTACTCCCACAGAGAGGGATCCCTTCATTCCGAATAGGAATGGTGGAATAATGTTTGGTAAAGGCAAAGAACTTTTACTTCTTTTGACATATCGCAACTTCGCCTATGCCTCATAGACTATGAAGAGTGCTTGCAACAGTCTTCTGCATGATCAACAACCTAAGCGATAGACTTCTCTTTCATTGCAATTTTAGGCAATTTTGAAAAGTCAAATCCGTTGCAGCTCAATTTTCGGCTCCAGCTGCGGTTTCGCATTTTCAAAATTTCGGCTCCAGCTCCGACTCTATATTTTTAAAACCTCGACCCTGCCTCCAAGTGCTGAATTTACTCTGCTCCGCTTCATCTTCGACCCTCCAGGCTGCGGAAAAAAGCAATCGTACCTATCTCAGCTCCAACTGCTAAATGCTAACGTGATATTTTTTGAGAAAGCCAAAAAGTTTTTTCCGCATTGGAGCTTAGGCATTACTTCCGGGATAGCTGCTTCCTCGACAAGAATCATTCGGACAGATACTACCGGACAACTGCAGTATTTGCACGGGATCCCGATTTTTCAATTCCGATCCCGGGATTTATGTTGTGAAAACTTTCAAAAAATTTTCAAAACGGCATTTCATAATGTCTTGATTATAATAATGTCTTGAATTACAAATCAGCTCTTCTTATTCAGTACTGTTTATTGTTTACCACTCAAAGGACTGTGAATAATTATACATTAACGTATATTCTTTTTTTGAACGAGCAATGAGCAATAGTTTCGGAAAGCCTCCATTCTTTCGTCATGAGCGTTGTCATGTCTTTCGTTAATGATCACTCTCCAATCTGGAGATTGAAAAATGGTCCGAATTTCGCAAACACTACTGCCCCTAGGTAACCGCAATCCAGAAAAATTGCCCTTAATTATTTCGAAGGTACAATTGGTGAAAGGCAGTCGTCCAAGAGACCTGTCCTATGTGCAACTGTTTAGGGACAGTCCTCCTGACACCCACTTACGAATATTGTCTTGTTTTAATTTTCTGCTTCATAAACTCATTTTCTTATTCTTGTGTTATTTTAAAGGGTATATTTGTTCGAATATAACGATCATCGAGCACTGAAAGTGATTTCAGATAAACCCCCCAGTCCGGGCCGACCGGAAATTGAACTTTCCTCTGATACGGAGGTATTTATAACATGGGAACCACCTCCTGTGACTTCTTGTCTGGAAGGTTTCACTTACAAGTTAGAAATAAGACCCGCGGGTGAGTGTCTTTTTGAAATTTATCATCATCCCTCCGGACTACGAATGAATGATGTTTCAGAAAATGAAGTGATATCAAATGCTTCCCTATTGTAATTTGCAAAACATGTTCAACGTTTTGTAATGTGTCAGTATTTGTTTTGTCAGTTGGTCTCTTCAATTCAAATGAAAGACTCAATGTATAACCGTCATGTGAAATGCTTGTTAAAGGCGAAAATGATCACTTCTGCGAGTGGCGATTGATATCAGATGATATTGATGAAGAAGCAGTTGTCGTTCGTCACATGAGTCCATTGGGTGTTTATCAGTTTAGAGTGACTGCAAAGAATGCATTTGGTTGGAGTAATCCTTCACTAACATCACGCATTATTCGTACTCATCCCAAAGGTGAGCAAATCGCTCGAATGCTTTTATTTTCACGACGCACAAAACCAAAGGAGTGAACCACAAATTGATTTCAGTCACCATTCTTTGTTCAAGCACACCCTTGATCGTTGTTTTGTTTTCGCCCTACAAATCAGCACTCTTTCTTAAAGGGTCACCGAAGCTTCAAATCGACGTTCTCAAACAACAATATCATTTGTGCATTCTTTCAAAACCAGCAAAGCCGCAGTTGTTGGTGCAATCATTGGCTGGTATAATGGAAGAAGATGAAGATGAAGCGGGTATTATGGCGAGCACTGAAGGTGATCAGGTGGCGATACCATCTCTAATATTGAATGATCGAGATGATCCCGAGAAGCGGTTCAAGGTTCATTTCTTTATTCTTGTATTTGTTAAGTGGTGGATTGTAGTTGTTCCTAATCGATGTCACACAGTATGTTCGTTTTTTTTTAAATTCTCATGATTTGAAAATATTTTGCGCTAATTCGATGTGGATTCGGGCATATCTATAATAGCTTGGTACATGTATGCTTCATTTGAACATACTTTTGGTTGATTACAGTTGGGATCCGAATTATTTAATGGCCGTTTTTGTGTCATTTTGAATGCGGTCGATTCGAAAGCTGAACTTGGAAAGAACTGCATAGCTAAGATAGTACAACTGTCGTCTGAAAGTCAGAACTTGTTAGATGAATTCAGTGCGTTGAAAGAATGTCAACATGAAAACGTATTGCATTTGATCGCTGCCTACAAAAAGTTAGTTTCTTAAACTGTACGGTTTATGAACTAATTGATGGAATATTATTTGTGTTTTATTGAACTACGCTATGGCTGTTTGATTATTAATATTTTAGGGAGAATTCACTCTATCTGTTTTCTGAGAAACTATGCGAGAATATCTTCGAACGGTTCACTTACAAAGACTATTATAATGAAGAGCAAATCAGTAAATCGATCATGCAAATTGCTGCTGCATTGCACTGGATCCATTTCAAACGGTGTGTTCTGTAGTTGTATTAATCGGTTTTTCAATTTGTAAAGCAACGAATTATATCACAAATGAAGCATCAGGGTATGGAATGTTAAAAAATAACTATTTCTTTATTGCAGAATCGCCCATTTGGATATACAACCATCGAATGTTATGTTCGTTTCAAAACGTTCATGGCACCTCAAATTAATTGACTTTGGTTCAGCTAATGCGATCAGTTCCCAACGGAATCCTAGACAAACATTCAACACATATTGGTCAGCTCCAGAGTTGTTCAGCGAAACTAACCAACCAGTTACAGGTCAAAGTGATGTTTGGAGTCTTGGCGTTATTACGTTTTGTTTGTAAGTTTCATTATTCAATATGCTTATATGATCGTTTTTACAGAATGACACTGTTCATTTTTGTTTGAAAAATTTTATTTTTAGTGGATTAACCTTTCCGAACATTTTTTCACTACTTAAAATGTTATCGTTTTTTAGGCTTAGCGGCTTTCATCCATTCGCATCAGAAGGTGATACAGAAGCTGAGATTAAAGACAGTGTACTACATGAGAAATGCAATCCGAATATGATTTTCGTACAAGCGACTCAAGAGTCTCTTCGATTCGTCACTTGGGCACTCAAGAAAGATGCATTGTATGTTTTTGTAAAAAATTACGCTCACTGATGAAAAGTTTTCACTGCCATACGAATACAGAAACTGGGTCAATTTTTGCGTAGATCCTGGAAATGAAGTTTATTCTTCATTTTTACCGACGGATTCCTGAATTGCACCAATGCAAACATACATGTTTAAAAATTGATACTGTCCAACTCGCTACTCAGCTAAGTACAATAAAGCCTTGTTGTGGAGCTTTTGTTCGCGCAGATAACGCAGTTGAACTCCGTCACTCCTGAAAACACTTCGTTTTTATGTGAATTCCAAATAAAAATTTTCAAATTCATGAGAAAGTAGTACATAAATAAAAAGGAGTATTTTGGACCGATGCAAGCTGGGCGATATGGATTTATAAATTTATATGTTTGTATGAGCGGAGGAGTTTCAGGTGGATTTTATAAAAATTCACCCTGAAAGATGAAAAATGAATTTCATTTCCGTGATCTAAGCAAAAAACTGGCCTAGGTTCTGATATTCATACATCAGGTAAAAGTTGTTAATTTTGTTGGGTAGTTTTATTTGTGAATTGAAATTAATTTGTTGAAATCGATCCATTCATGTATTAGTCAGTGCAATCAAGCATTTAAGCGTGAACGCAACTACGTTTAATATGAATTCATTTGTCAGAAAACGAATACGAACAGCTGAAGCACTCACTCACCGATGGTTTTCGAATGATAGTTCAATGGTGCGTCGGCGTGAAACAATCAAGTATCCGAGCAGTAGATTACGAAAGACGATGATTTTAACAGCAACAGGCGGTATCGACACCCCGTGTCATGTGTTCGACGGAGTCGTACACTAACATTCGGATATAACTGATAATCTTCATTTGTTGCTTATTATATAATTCTTGTTCTTCATTTATTGATGATATGCAGCACTCTCTATCATTTCGATTTCG